GTTTTGAGATATTGTTGTTTGTTTAAATTTCCTATGAAAATCAACAGAACAAGCGCTATCACATTTATCACATTGCTCGCGCAAAGTGCGCATGCTCAACACTTGTGCACGCGCTAAGATCACGTGATATCCCAAGGGACGAAAACAGAATAACTGCTGGCCATTTTTCTCAGCTTGCCCTCACATGTTTTTGTTTAAAAGCTTATTGGCTGCAAAAATTCTCGTCATGATAAACAAGTTAAGCAAGTTATGAACGGCAAAGGGATAAAACAATCCTAGAAAAACTGAGTTCAGCCACCTTAAGATAGACATCATGAAATGTCTCTCAACCCCGATCCACCTAAAGGCCTACCTAAACGCAAGAAATTTGGTCAAACAAGAAGTCCTATGGAAGTCAATAATACTTTATTTATTCTGAGGTACGTTGTGTTCATTTCTGGGCATAAGTAGGAATCAAAGGACGCTCTTAAAATAGTTTAAGCTTCAAAGCACTGTCCTTACGTACCCATATAGCGTCCGCTCGAATCGCTTTTTAATTGTTCTTGCTCGTCCACACGTATTTGTTTGTTTTGTTTTGTTTTTTTAATGGATGTTTTTTAAACTGACTGGCCTTGAATGATTCTTAAATTCTCCCTCTCTTTCTGGAAATGGGATGTTTTTTTACAGTGTTAGAAAAGTGTTACGTGTTCGTTTCTGTCGACGCGACAAGAAGAAACCTGCGTTCCAAAAATTTCCACGTATAGAAAGCACTCTTTCAAAATGTTTCGTTTTGGTGAACGTTCTCATCGAAACGTGTAGACGGAGGGCCAGTTAAGATTTTGAATTGGAATATCATTAGTAGCTATTTTCGTCGCATCACAACTCACTCTCGTGGGTATCAGTAGTATATTCATGCAATAAGGGAAACATAAAAGTGCAAAAAAACTAGCGAGAGAATGTTTGGAACTTTCAGCGACCCAATGACGCCAGTTGATCTCTTTACTGGGAGGGTGCGGGGGGGTTACTAAAACGGACCCTCGAAAACTAGACCTAAGACCTAAGACCCGTCTTAGTTTTCGAGATTACGAAAACTTAATAAATTCCCCAAGGACGCCAGATTCCAGGAAGACTATGTTACATCTCTCGAAAACGTAATCCAAGAAGGTTTCGCTGAAAAGGTTCCCTCTGAAGATTTACATAGAGTAGACGGCAAGATCTAGTATAGTCCACATCATTGGGTGTATCACACCAAGAAAACTGCGAGAAGATAAAGGTCGTTGTTTATTGTTCCGCCCAGTTCCAAGGGCAACCTCGTTCCCAGGGTTCTCTCCTACCCGCTCCGTAGGGCGGGTAAGAGAGAACCCTGGGAACGAGGTTGTTCCAAGAGATGTCTTTGAACAGCGAATCCCTACAGAGCACTAATTTGACCAATGTACAGTTTGGTTGGAATAGTGTTTCATTTCTGACAAACCCAGTGGCTGTAATGGTACAGATGTGCAATCTATGTTTCACCAGGTTCGTGTTCCTGTGGAGGATCGTGACTTTATGCGGTTTCTCTGGTGCCGCCCGGTTGTGATCTCGATAAGGGTGTGGAAGAGTACCGAATAACTCTACCTCTTTTGGGTGCAGTTTCGTCTCCATGTTGAGTCAATCTTGCCATGCGTGTAAATGCTGAAGATCACCAGCACGAGTTTTCGCCTGAAGTCTTTTCTACTGCTCTGAGGAATCTCTTTCTAGACGACAGCTTCAAATCTCTGCCTTCCAGAAATGAATCAATTAAGTACGAGTGTGATCTTCCTAACTTAATGAGCACAGCAGACTTTAAGTTGACGAAATGGGTCAGCAACGATCGCATGATTTTAGACTCCACAGACGAAAGGAACTAGAAGAGAGGATTTAGGTGTATCATGGTTCATGAAGACTGACAAGTTTGGTTTTCTGGTATTTGTTAAAGATGGGCCACGTACTAGGCATGGCATACTTTTCGATAGTCATTCCTTATATGATCTTCCGGGAATGACAGCTCCTTTCATTCTTCCATAACAACTTATCCTACAGGACTTGTGAGGAAAAGGCTTATAATTGGAGGATTTTTTTTTTTTATTTATTTTTGCCTTACAGACATATATTAAATGTTTACAGTACTAAACACTACTGAAACTAAATACTACTAACAATATTCACTATACTTGCACTATTTACAATATTGGCTATACTGACAATACCATCCATACGATGCTCGTACTACTAATAATTACAATGGTTACACTACTTACAATTCTAGTACATCACACACACACACACACCCCCACATAAACACACACAAAACAAAACAAAAAAAAAAAAAAAAAAAGGTCAGAGGAGTTACTTTTCATGTCTATTTTATAGCTTTTCAATTCTGTATTTAATTATCATTTTACCAACGAAGTCTTGGAGGAGAATTGGTTTGTTGTGTAGTTTGTTGGCGTAGATGTAGTATCTCATAAACAACATGGTATAATTGAATTTCCTTACTAGTACCTTTTCATGTAAGTCCGAGAGGATGCCGAACAGTCTTTCTTCGCTAGATGGGTTGAGATTGATCTTGTTTTCTATATTGAACCAGTTGATAACCCGTTGAATGAAAATCTTGACGAAATGACAATCTCTAAAAGTATGATTAATAGAGTCTTTTTCACCACAATATATACATTCATCATCTTCCTTGATTCCATAGCGGTAAAGTTCCTTTTTGGTGACTAAAATTTGGTGGATTAATTTATATTGAAATTCCTTTAATTTGGTCTCTCTACAGACGGTTTTTAGGGAGGTGAATATTTTTTCCCATTTATCTTCATCCAAGGAAAGATCTTTGCTCCATCTCTGTGGCCCAGAATGACCTGTTGTGTGGATTTTTGTGCATAATAACGTATAGAAGTCGCTAGTCTTGATTTTGTTCAGATATAGAGTTATCGATTCATTTAATTGTAGACTAAGATTATTATCAGAATATAACTCTTTATTAATTGGCTTCGTTGATTTTGCTTTGGCTAATAGGTGCTTTGGGATAGCGCTAATAACTTGATAGTATTGAAGGAAGTTAGTTTTACAGGAATACTTATTCGTAAATTCCTGATAGGTCATCGGTTGACCGGTATTGTTTAAGAGATCTTGTATTGACAGGATACCTTTTTTAAACCATTCCCTGATAAAAAAGGTTTTACTGTCAACAAGTATTTCTTTGTTGTTGAATAGAATTATATTTTGTGCTTGATCAAAGCTGTACAGAGTTTTTAATTCACTGAAGTATACTAGAATATTTCGGTAAAACAATGGAATAGATTTTATGTATTTCGCATCATAGTTACATCTCAGTAAAAAGTTCAAACCTCCGAATTTTCTTAGGTAATAATCAGGAACTGTTTTCCAATTCTGGTTCCCTGGAGTCAGTAATCTTGGAATCCAGGCTAGTTTTAGAGCTTTAAACATTATGTCGATGTCTACCATACGTATTCCGCCTCTTCCCAGATCCTGATAGAGCCCAGTTCGTTTAATTTTATCCCTTTTGTTTTTCCATAAGAAACTAAAAAACTTTGTTTTCACTGTGCCTGCGATATCTTCGGGAACATTAAGAATTGAAGCTGAATAAATTAATTGTGACAATCCTAGGGACTTAATTATCAGTACCTTCCCAAATAGTGTGAGGTCTCTAGATCTCCACATATCCAGCTTTGTTTGAAGTTTTCGTATTTTCAGATTAAAGTTCAATTCATTGTTACCCTTCTCATCATAAGAGACATGAATTCCTAAGAGGCGAGTCGGACTATGTAACCATTTTAGTTGTAAAGGATAACTTTTGTTTTTTTCCCATTTTCCCAACCAAATTGCTTTCGATTTCTTTATGTTTAACTTGAGACCCGCTAGCCTCCCAAAATCTCCCACCGTTTTCAAAGCATTTTCAACGGAGATCAAATCTGCACAGAAAAGGTTTGTGTCGTCTGCGAATTGGCTCAATTTGATTTCGTGCCCGAATATTTTGATCCCAGATTTCCACCTGACCTGCTGGAGAGCGTGGCTCTATGATTTACTGAACACATCCCAAGTTGCCATTGAAAGATGTGTTAAGCCTGTTGAGTCTTCAGATAACGCTTCATGTCGGATCCATCATTTCTGTGACGCTGGCGCTGTATCGGACCTTTGCTTGGTCGATAAGCTAGGTCAGGTTTACCTTTTATTTTTCATTGGCAAGTCCTGCCTGGCTCCTTTCTTTAAAGAAAACAACCATCCCTAGGCTGCTACTGTGTCAGTTTGACTAAACAAGATCTTGACGAAGAAGTTGGGGTTATCGATCGGTAGATTCACATTTTGAACTGACAGTATGACAGTGATACGCTACATTGCGAATGAGTCGAAGTATTTTCACACCTATGTTGCCAACCGTATTGCCGTAAGAGAAGAATCTAACCCATCTCATTGGAAGTACATAATGACAGCAAGTCCAATCCCGCTGATGAAGCTTCACCAGGAATTACAGAAAACACGTTCATCCCCAAATGGCCCAGGGGCCGGATTTCCTATCATCACTTGAGCCTCAGTGGGAGGACGGTGCCCAAGAATACGCAATTCGAAGAAATGTATCGACGCCGAGGAGTATATGGGTGATTGGGCGAATCACAGACTTTTTTTTCAGATAGGAATGGTTTTGTACGCCACGTTAAGGTCAAAATAAAGACCTCTACTCTTCGGAGGGAACCTTCTTGGAATCTGACCTAAACTCTTTAGAGCAACCTATCACCAAGTTGTGATTGTTGGAATCAGTTGGACATTGAAAGTGGTTCGTTTACTTCTCAGAACTGTTTAAGAGACTTCTCGCGACTTTCAATGATGTTCTATCGAACTGGACATTTAATAATAATAATAATAATAATAATTTATTCATTTATAGTGCGCTTTTTAACATACTAGGTGATCAAAAGCGCATTACAACAATAAACAACCTAAAAACTATACAAATATTAGAAACATACAAATATATTTAATATCTAACAGATATTAAAAGATAGTTTAAAAAAATAAGTTTTAAGATTAGACTTAAAAGTAGAAATACATTTGATGCTGCGGAGGCTAACAGGAAGAGCGTTCCATAAAGTGGGCGCAGCCACACTGAAGGATCTGTCACCAAGTGACTTTTTCATTTTCCATGACGGATGCTTTAATAAAACACCTTCATTGGAGAGCAGCAAATAGCGCGAATTAATCTTAGTATGAATAAAATCAATGATGTAACTAGGTGCCACGCCATAGAGGGCTTTGAAAGTAAGTAATAAAATTTTAAAATTAATTCTATATCTTACTGGTAACCAGTGTAAATTTATGAAAGTGAGCGTAATATGCATGGTCATACTTTTTACATGACATAAGCAGCCTAGCTGCAGCGTTCTGTACTCTTTGCAACTTAGCTATTTCATAGTCCGGTAATCCATAAAGAAGCCCATTACAATAATCAATTCTACTTGTAACGAAGACATACAACACCATTTCTAATTTATCCCTAGGCAGAAATTGGCTTATTCTCTTGATATTATGTAACCAGAAAAATGCTGCGCTACAAGACGTAGAAATATGGGTCGACATAGAAAAATGCGAGTCGAACCAGGCGCAGAGGTTACGCGCTACTTTAACAGGCTTAATATCATTGAATGGTGCCAACACGGACAGAAAAGTGATGAATTTTCAGCAACTGTTGTCTCGATCCAATAACAAGAAATTCAGTCTTATCATCGTTGATCTTTAGCTTGTCCCGGTACATCCATGTACGTAAATCACTAATGCATCGGTCCATGGCTTCCAATGCCATCGATTGATCCGTAGGACTGTTAGGATCGAAAGACAAGTAAAGTTGCGTGTCGTCAGGGAAGCAAAGCACATTCGGCAGGTGGTCTTGTACTATCTCAAACAGCTTGGAGGCGTAAACCGCAAACAGAAGCAGGCCGAGAAAGCAGATCATAGCTATCAGATTTAGTCCCCTCAAACAAAACACACCGGCTGCGTTCAGACAAATACGACGAGAACCACTCTAAAGCCTTCCGGCCTATACCAAAATCAGTGGTCAAGCGTTTTAGCAAAATCGCGTGGTCCACGGTGTCAATGGCAGCGCTTAAATCTAAGAGGACAAGTAGTGTAACACGCTGCGAGCTCATATTCAATAGAATATCATTAGCAAGTTTGACCAACGCTGTCTCCGTACTGTGATATCGGCGATATGCAGATTGTAATAGCAGATAGAGACCGAACCGGACAAGGTGGTCGTATATCTGATTAAATACTGAGCGCCCAGTGAGCTTGGAAATATAAGCCAAGTTGCTTACAGGACGCAAGTTCTTGAGGAGAGATTCAAGTCCCGGTTTCTTCAACAGTGGTATGACCACGGCCTCTTTCCAGCTTTCAGGAAAACGAGTCGGAGACAAACCTGTTCGAGGCACTTAGGCCTTTGTGACGTTTATTGCTCAAGGAATTTATTGCTTGAATAGTTCATTGATGTTTAATGCAGTTAGTTCCTAGTTCATTTTTATAGGTTACATAGGATGTACGCGTCATGAATGCTACGCGTTTCTTCTATAGCTTTTGTGTGTTCGCCGCGATTTTAGTTTTTTTCATGTTCGCCCCTTTAGTGCTGTTTAGTTCATTAGTCGTTCATTGTTCGTGTATCTTTGTTCTTCGTGTTAGGTTTTTTCTTTGCATATAATAAATTGAGCTTCGCTTGTAATTTTTGCGTCAATTGTTCGTTGTGATTCTCAATCTTTTGGTCCATTTTAGAGTTTTATTCTTTTTGGTCTCTTTGCTCGTCCTACTTATTCATCTAATCTTGCTATTGTCTTGCAATTATTTTGCTTGATTTATTTGCTTTTTCTTCAGTTTGCCGTATTGCTATCGCTCGGTTTCGTAGTTATTTTATCTTCACCTTGTAGTTTTTTAATTTTTGTTTTTTAGTACCGCTTTGGTTTGTTTCAAATCGCATACAATCGCTTCGTTTCAGTTGTAGAACAACTAGATTCAATAAAGTTGTTCGTTCGGAAGATTAAAGCGTGCAAAGGGCGCGACTTCACTTCCCTTCTTGAACCTTTTGCCTACAGTGCCTGGATTTTGTATTACCATCAGTATATGTGATTCCTTCTTCCAAACGCAATTATTATGATTTTTGCTACTGTCTGGGCTGTTGCATGTGTTAGAAGGGATCCTGAGACATTTTCAAGGGACTTAAGGATTGTTACCCAGTCTGTTTACGATTTTCAAAAATTGTAATTTGTTTGGAACATAGACAGAAACCGTAGTTTCGATACAGAATACAACTTAAGCTTGACGTCTCGTTTTGTTTTCTACTTCTGCTGTTGTTTTTGTTGTGAAGTATTTTCAAAGTTATTTTAAGACGGATCTATATAATATCTTTTAAGTTTAGTTTTTGTTTCATTAAGTCTTGTTTTTGTCCACGTACTGTTTTCCTGTTTTGATCTTTTGTTTTTACTTGTACTTGAAGTTATGCTTAGCTCGCGAATTTACTGATTGCCATATTAGGAATGTTACAGGTGGTCGTGTTTGTAGTGTTAGAGCTGACCTTCGTTCTTTGGTACTTATCAGCTGCGGCTGTGCGTAGGCTGATCTATTCCCTGACAATAGCAAACCTGTTGCAGTGTTAGCGATAAGAAATACAGTAGAAACTCTTCCGGTCAGCTAACCCAAATATGTCCAGCTTTGGCTATTAAAACCGCTACTATACTGAACTGGAGGGGTAGATGTAGGAGAAGTAGAGTAGAAGTAGAGTAAGCAGAAGTTATAAGAAGAATAAAGGCCAAGATGTAAATCAGATTCCTGGTACCTCGTCGTGTAGCGAGCGAGTTGCTCAAACACACCCCCACATTTTGTTGGCTCTATATAAGTCCTCATTGAATTTGAAATGTACGAAACCAATGCACCCGAATTTTCGAGAATTTTTTCCAAGTTTTCTAAGGCAAAAATTCATTCTCCTTTAGTCTCGCAGTATGAACTTTCGCGTTGAATTTTGGCGCCAAACTCATACACCTCTGTGGGATTTGATTGGACGGATCATTTTTTTTTCGTACGTAAAAAGAACCTCATTCGCGATTTTGATTAGCCAGAACTCATGTGCGTATGAAAACTTACGACGGAGCTTTTCCGTGAGTATACCTTAGTATGTATGTAATAAAGTTCTGAAAGCATGTTTTCGCCCGTCAACAACTGACTTGATGTGACTTGATCAGGAATCTGAGCCGATATAGACATATAGACTTCACGGAAATCTTGATACTCTACTTTGAACCGCAATGTATTGTGGGAAGACAATGACAACTTCTGTGGCTATAAATAGAGACGTGGTCCAAGGAGGAAGATGGAACCTCTCCCTAGAGTTTTTGATATGTTTCAGTATTTCAAAACGATTTTGCCTTCAGTGGAAAGTCTTTGATCTTTTCTACAGGATGAGGTATAAGTTTATGGGTGGTGGCACTGCTGGAGAACCGCAACGCCACCAAACATGGTCACCATCTTGGTCGCCATGTTGGATTTAACCAAGATTTAGCAGTCAGGTGAAAACCGCGAGAATTGATTTTTTTGAGCCTGATTTGTACAAGCTTTAATTTTGTTGAAAGAAGTTGAAAAAACATGACTTGACCACAAACACCCCCCCCCCCGCCTGGTTAACTCATATCACTACATGTACCATGAGTGCATTTACTATTTATATTTGTCATGACCATCGAAAACTGTAACGTCTCACACGCCAAAAATAATAATCGGAATTTGCTCTCCGCACGCGTACGCTTTAAATGGACAGACTCAATAACATCACCCCACACAAAACATCAAGAGCTTTCAAACTAGTTGTATTAATAAAGAAGCCTCCCATCAAGCGAAAACTGCAACGTTTGATTGCTATTCGTTACAGTCGGGACGTCAATGTTCTCATTGCTTAAGCTCGCTATAGTTACCGTATACATGGTACTATGTCTACACTTTTCGTAGTACTCGCCTAGTGTTTTGGTCATGACCCGTAAACAACTAAAAAATATACTTACAAAATTTCCATCTTAGAGAGATTTGATAATAAGCCAGATGGAAGCCTTTCAATTTTGTTATTCGACAAAAACCTGCAAAAATAAGTCATCCTTAACATACTGTAGACAAGAATGATTCAACTCGAATATATTGTGTCGATAATAGACCTTGTCACGGTTTTCGACGCCATGTTGACGAGTAGGCAAGCGTGTGAGAAATTACAGTGATTGTATGAGAATCTAATGTCGAATAATTTCCTTATAACGGCTGTTCTGAAAAAAATATGATTTGTAAACTAAAACTTCACTCCTAAGGATTCTCCTGAAAAAATTTGAGGGCGTTACATGCACTAGAAGACCTAGAACCACTTTTTTAAATTTTCTATACATTTGTCTGTAAGAAAGTCCGGGAAAAATTACAGACAAATATATGGAAAATCTAAAAAAAGCCTCTGGAAAAATTTCCACAGGTACGCCCCCCATTTTTTTTTAGGACAATCCTTTATTGTAGCTTTAGTTTACAATTGATATTTTGTTCAGAACAGCCGTTTTACGGAAATTATTCGACATTAGATTCTCATACAAACACTGTAATTTCTCACGCGTTTGCCTACTCGTCAAGATGGCGTCGAAAACCGTGACAAGGTCTATGATAAAAATGAGAAAGACTGAAAAAAATGCTATAGTAATTGAGGCAGCCACCCTTTTTCACAGGGCCAGTTACCGCAGAGTTCAAGAAAATCTCAGTAAATCATTAAACTTAAAGTCACCATTAAAAGGCCACCTTTCTGTTGTCTGTTGTTTTTTTCGTTTTATCCCTCTGAAAACAACCAGTTTTACACAGTTTTCTACAGCCCTAAAAATTCTTCTACGAAAAATCGCATGGCTACCAATGCTTTCATAAGCAGCCTGTCTCATCTTGGCGGGAAATCGGATGAATCAATTCAAACCGATGTTTTTAATCTAATTGAAGGTTTTAACTTAAATTGGAAAAAAAAGAATAATGCCCTGATTTCGAATGTCACACTAAAACTGTTTGCATTCGAGTATGTCTAAATGTCGCGGGTCGCGACTCGCGGGTAGAGGTCGCGGGTGCGGGTGCGGGTGCGGGTAAAGGTCGCCGGTACGGGTAAGTGTCGCGGGTAAAAATAAATCACCAAATTTAACCGAAAGATAAAATAAACAACGAAACAAAAATTTCTTTTCTTAACTTTTCTAACGAAGACTAGTCAGCAGCGCAAAGGAAGACTTCTTGTAGTTGTATAAGCTTTTCGTTTATTTCCGACACGTTTCGTCTCTTACTGAGATCTAGACTTCTTCAGGGAATG